TCACAAAAGCAGTCCCGTCTCCCTGGTGAGTTGCCCTTAGTCATGTACACCCTGATTTTGCAACCAGTACAGGATGTGTCCAGAAAGGACAGCCTGCCAGTTGGGGTGGGGAGAGGTGAGGGCTGCTGGTGTCATTGCCTTTCCATGCCTTCTTTCCCCAAAGAATCCTGGCCCTTTGGAGCTGCAGTCACCTCACAGAGCAGACACATGTTTTTCCCCTCTGCTGTTAATGTGAGACCCATCACAGAACCAGAGTTCCCAATGATGTGAGGGGCAGCAGTCACAACAATTCAGCCAAACTGGTTTAGGCTCTCTACTTATCCTATTGCAGCGTTTTAGAAGTCCTAATCTACTGCTCTCTCTGTCCTGATCACAATTTTTACTACAGTGATTAGGCCAAAACATTATATAATCTACATTGGTGACAAGCTGGGATGAGAGGAACAAAACATCAAATGAAAGACCTTGTTTCAATTAAAAATTGGCCTTTTATACTCCCACTGCCTATATACCTACATGAGAACAATTCATGAGTTATTCATTGCAAAGTACGAATTTGTTAAGTTTTATGCATATTTTTGGCAACAAGAAATCACTTAAGAAAAAAAATACAGAAAAGATAAGTTATAGTGAATCCTACCACCTTCCCCTCCATGCAGAAGGACCCGAAAAACAGAGGATATTGAAGGCTGTAAGTTTTTAAAAAACAAAAAAACAAAGAAAAAGCACTTTGCTCATGATCCAAGACTACCTACAAATGCATGTTTGAAGCAGATATTTAAAACTTATTTCTAAAAGGTAATTCATTTCCTTTACTAGTTGTAACATCTGAAAAGTGATTTGCTGCCTTTACTCATTACAATATTAAAAAATGAACCTGTTGACTCCCTTGTTTCCTTACTCACTATCTTCCTTTCTCCCCCTCTCCCCAGCCACTCCCCACAAACTGTCAGCTTGAATAGCAGATTCGTATAATAACTGATAAATTCTCAGCAAAACGACTAAAACTTTAAAAAAAATGCCATTTTGAATTAAATTTTGGAAGTAAAGGGGAAAATGTCACTTGCCATATATAACAGTAAGGAAATGTCCTTGCCACTGCTGTACCACCTTTGGATTGTAACTTTTGGCTTCACTACACATGGAGATAGGTTGTTTCAGTTTAACTGGGAGTATTCTATCTCACACCCCTAGACATTTGATGCTCATACCAAAATGGTTACTTATCCTCCTACAAGAGTCCACACTACATAACATTTTTACCAGGATCACAGCCTTCCACATATTAACACTACAATCTTCCCCAACTTCTCTCTTCATCCTTCCCTTCAGACTACTGCCCGGTTTCACAGAAAATAAGACCTAACCTGAAAATAAGCCCTAGTATGATTTTTCAGGATGCTCGTAATGTAAGCCCTACCCCAAAAGTAAGCCCTAGTTAAGTGAGACCCCACCCTCCACCATTGTGCAGCAACCAGAAGATGACATTACTGTATTTGAATAAATGTAGATTGTTGTACATGAAAAAAATGAAACATCCTCTGAAAATAAGCCCTATTGTGTTTTTTGGAGCAAAAATTAATACAAGACCCTGTCTTATTATCAGGGAAACACAGTATGTTGACTTTGTCCCTTGAAAATTCTGACTGACAGTACAGCACTGATCTGAATCAGTGCTATATTTGAAAGAATCATTTTAAAAAATTAAACGTACGTATCTCCTTAGAGATGCTTTCTGGAGGGGGGATGTCAGGTGAGAAGGAGGCAGAACTGACATAACAGGGATTAAAATAATAATAATAATAATAAAAAGCACTGTTGTCCTTGGACGTAATCTGCAGCTCCTCAATGTAAAGACAGATTGAGCCTGGAAAATGAGAAGCTGAGAAGAAAACAAAAGTGGATGCAGCCAATAAAGCCTAACTACTGAGACCTATGCACTTCGCTCTTAGCTTCATGCACCTGAGAGGAAAAGGGATTTTAAAAATAAATAAATAAAACATCTTGACACAATTTTGGCCTACCCACTATCCTTCATACTGCACACTCTTCCTGCTTAGGTAACAGATCATGGCAGGCCATCATCAAGGCACTTGCAGCAAGCCTGGGAGGTTGGAAACGATGGAAGCAAGGGGGCCGGGCGCTGCATCCTGGTGAAGGTGAAGCAAAGAGAGAAGAGGCAGCAGAGGCATAGCGGTGGCTGCTGTAAAGTGGACCACAGCACTTCCAATTGCCCAATGCAACAGAGAATCCCATGCCTTGCCAAGTCCACCCTAATGATTCAAAATCCTGTAGCCAAGGCTGTTGGGCAGCCTGGTCCAACTGGCTGCCTGGCAGATTGAGACCCTGCCACGCTTTTTCACCACTTTATTTCATCTTCATCTTCTTCCCCCTTTTAAAAAATATTGACAGATGACACAGCACTGATCTGAATCAATACGATACTTGACAGGGCAGTTATTATTTTCTTTTAAATTATTCCAGGGGAACTCACTGGAGAGGCATGTTCTGGCTTACCTGCTACCCCATACCCCACTGAAGACTTCACCATCAACATTACCTACGGCCCACCCACCGCTGCCCCTTCAGACCAATACAGGCAATTACACATGACAAAAATAAAAATAAAAAATGAAGCAAAGCAATGGGCAAGCATTTGCCACAAAAAAAGTCATTGCCCTTGCCTGCTGAGCAAAACATAATGGTCATGAAAAAAGTCTGGGCTTACTCACAGTTAGCCGTACATTGTGTAGTTGGTATAAAATAAGTCAAAATTGACCATGGTAATCACTGCAAAAACTGCAGGACAAATTGTACCATAGTCAAGCCATTTATTACATTCCCATTGTCCTGCTTCTCTCTCAAAAGGTGACTCTGTACAGGTGACCTGTTATAACCCATTAGTTCCAAGCTCTTGTATGAATCAACTCCACATCAATGGCTCTATGAACACAGAAAGTTAATGAATCAGAAAGAAGGTTTCCAATCTTTGTCCTGATAAGGACAGCTTTCTGTAGGTGAGGTGCTTTCAAACAATGGCTGAAATCTTGCTTCTTTGTTATGCATGTAGAAAGCAAATGGTATTACATTCAGTCCCTTCTAGATGGCAATTAATGATCCCCCAATGGGGTTCTTGAGAGCATGCCAACCAGTAAGCCTATGTCTCCAGCTGAGAATCCCAGTGGCAATTTGCTAATTGCCAGCTAGATGGGCCTGCTGAATGTTATACCACTTGCCTTCCTGCATGCACAACACAGAAACAGGATTTCAGCCAATATGTGTTCTGAGAAGATGGATCCTGTCCAATCAGAACTGCATCGTGTACTCTTATGCCATCTATCTATGTAGGCCCTATTGCCTTTCAGTCAGTTGTCCTTGAGCGGGACCGAAGGTTGAGCAAGAGCCTACAGAAGCCTCTAAAAAAAGGGAAGAAACTGAAGAATACACTCAGTACTGCCTGGAGGCAAAGGAAAAGGGGAAAACCAGGAGCAGGAAAGCTTTTGGATTGTCCTTCTTTAGCAGCTGTTTGGGTGTACAAAAACAGGCAACGTCTTGGAAGGACAGCAGACTAGGAGGCTGAAAAACTGGTGCGCCTATATTATCCTAGGCTTACAATTTATATTAAAAAATTCCCCAAAAGAACTACTCAGTTTATAACATCAGGTTTTATCCTGTGTAGAGCAGCCTTAAACCCAGACAGAGAGAAGTATGGCCCTTCTGCAGAATTTACCAAGCAGGGTTCACCTGTACATCCAACAGACAGAATCTGAGCAGAATCTGGGAGAAATAAATACCTTTTTATGCTCAGGAATTAAACTGTGAAGTGTGTGGGGACAGAGGCAATTCTGACTCTGCAAAGAAAGGGGATTTCCCAGCAGGCTCATGATGCAATTGCTGGACTGTAGATCTTAATAACAAGCCCTTAAAGTGACAGAGCTTCAGTGCCCTCAAAGCTCTCTCATCCTGAGGCTATCTCCTGTGACTCTTGCTAATCTGTGCTGGCAGGACAAGGCAAGGGCAGAGTGACGGATAGACCCAGCCTTCACTTAAAGTTATCGGCCTCAGTGTCATCCCATCAAGGCAGCTGAACATCTTCAGCCCCACCCCACCCCCCTTGCAACAGCAGCAACAAGCTTCACCCTAACCCTTATGCTGGCTTCCAAGTGCTACTGTGCAAACAACACCCTCCCTTTCTAACAGCAACCTACAATGATGTCTTTTAAGCAACATCAGCCTGAAGGTCACTGGGTGAAATTCTGAGCTGATTTCTAAATCTCCTCTTCCCTCAGTTCACCTGCTGCCTCTTCTCCCACTTGAGTTTCTGGCAGTGGAACTGACCACCACTGGGAGAAAGCATGCAAGAGGTGGGCCAAGAGTGGGGGAAGATGCAAATGTTTCTCTGTCACCCTAAACCAGATTATGGAACTACTACCCATACTGCTCGGCTAGAGTCACTTGGCCCTCAGTCAGAATAAAATGTTGAAAGTGAGGAGAAACTCCTTTAATCCCACTGGAGCAGAGGAAATAAATATTGATCTCTGCCAGTGACTCTTTCTCCCCCTCCTTCTCTTTCAATCCTTTGCTTTCTTTAGATATACATAAAACTTTCCACTTGATTTCCTTCCACCAACTGACACAAAAGGACCTAATTGGGTGCACACCAGACACCTCAATTTCATACCCAATGGGTGGCTACCTTGGACAGAAGCAGGAGTAATGATAGGCCAGGTTACAGGATGCAGCCCTCCCCATACTCTAGTTTGCCTCTCTTATGTTGCACTGCTGCCTCTCTGCTGGCTCGGAAGCCAAGAGCAAAGCCACATGAAGGACTAGGCAAGGGGACATTGCATACGTAACAGTGTACCCACCAGAAGAGCATCATCCCACATTTTGGACTTAACATGGGGCATGTTACCCGCTCAAAGGTGGCTACCACAAGTGCACGGAGAAAGAGGGCTTACTTCTTAAGTCTACAAAGTGTTGTCCATGGCAAGACATACCTGAGATGCGGGAATTGCTGGCCCTGCTAAAGGACTGTGGAGCCTGGAAAGCATAAATGCTGTCACCCTCCGCAATGGTGTTCAGATCCTCATCATCTGAGAAGGAGCACTGGAACCCTGACTGTCCCAGCTCAGCCAGAATCACCTGCAACAGGACAAGCCGGACTCAGGGAAGGAGAAGGCAGACGAAAAAAGGAGAACCTTTGTGGGCTACATAATGGCAACAGGTGCACTCCACAGGGTACTATGGGGCCAATTTCATAGGGGGAAGAGGAGGGAAGGTTTTCTGGTTTACCTGGTTAGGAGAAATCTTGCCTTCCGCTGCCACCATTTCCCTCAACTTTGCCACAGTGCTGAAAAGAGGCACAGACAGCCCCACACGGACGAACCGTTGGCTCTTGGACTGGAAGACGAGAGTGACATTCAAAGGCCTGAAAAAACCAGGAAGGATAAAGGAGCTTAGAACCATGCACTTCAAAGGCTCCAGATTAAATAGCCAAACAATGTCCTACCTCCATGTTTGCATTCACTCAGGGTAGGATCAGAAAGGATAGTGTCTCATTGCGCTGAAAAGGGTTGCTTCACTGGGAGTGATCTCCCTTTAAGCAGCCCTTCAGACAGGAATCACTCTGGTCCAGAGCAAAAGAAGAGTAGCTGTGCCATTGGACTAAAAAGGTCCAGCTGAGGCACACAGCAAGGTTGGGATGGTCTGCAATCTCCTGTGCATCAAAAGAGCCCTGGAAAACAGCTGGCGCCACTGTGCCACAAGCAGGAGAAAATAAAGCTACTGCTCACTCTGATCACACCCTTAACTAAACTGGCTTTCTTTTACCTTGGTGACACCATTTGCCTGCATTTGCTTGTGTGTTCACAAGCACAGATTATTCTGATTCCTGGAGAAAGGACATAATGGGCATGCAGGTTTGAGGTTCAATTATTGGAGATTACAAGTATGTTGATGGAGTGGAACAAGGACCCAGAGTCCAAGAAATCAGAATGTGTGGTTCATGAAGAAGCCCCAGCTGCTCATTCTCAGCTGCTCAAGCCCTACTAATTTTCAAAGAATTAAGAAATAACATCACATATGTCTTTAAAGTTGTATCTGTAACCATGAATAATAAGAATTTTAAAACAGTATACATTCTTTGGATTCTGCAGGAGTAATTTGAATTCCCATTAATTTCTAGGTTACGTAGCATGCAGAGTTATAGTAGACCCCTACATGCACTGGAGAGATCACTTTAGGATCTGTTCAGTTGGAACCAGAGTTACAAACTTATCATGCTAACAAGAAGGGCATGGTTATACCCAGTGTGGTGTAGTGGATAGAGTGACAGACTAAGACTCTGGAGAACAGGGTTTGAATCTCCACTTGACAATTGAAATTCACTGGGGTTTGAGGAACTGGTCAAACCATTCCTTAAATATCTCACTTACCTTGAAAGCCCTATTAGGGCCACTATAAATCAGTTCAAACTTGATGGCACAGAAAACACACAAACACACACACAAGGCAAGGAAAATTGAATTTCCATGGTATTCTCTAAAGATCAGAGTAGCGACATTGGCTAGCATTCTACTGCTGTTCTCAACTAGAGCATAAACCCACTGAATCAATTTCTAAACGGTAAGTCAGCACTTATATGAATTCCATTGAGCCAATGGGTGTTTTCTAGTTCAGACTTGTAATATAATTCTAATCAGTATATTTAGCAAAGAGAGAAGGAATTTTCTCATATCCTTCCAGATAATAAGTCTTAAAAGTCAGTGTCTGGATACTGATTGGAAGTTGAAAGAGCAATAGCAATAAAGATCCAGCACTAAAAATGACTCAGGGAAAGTGAGTTTTCATACAACATATCACAAATGTGCTGTAACTGCTGCTGTTTTATGTGTGCACGGTGCACACCGATCCAAGGACAACTTGCCCACGTTTCCTGCTGATTTGAGGAAGAAGTGAAACTGTACTTCTGATGAACTGCTGAAACATTTCTCCTAGCACTTCCATGTAGCAACATTCCACGAGAGTACACTCATAACTTAGTGCAAACCAGGGATGTGCAAAGTGAAGCCCTCCAGACGCTACTGGATTGCAACTCCCCTCTCCCCCACATTCCTCTCTACTGCCTATGTTACCCAGGGCTGGACTGGGGTTGCAGTGCAACAACATCTTGAAAGCCACACTTTGTCCACGTCTGTTTAAGTACGCTATCTGAAGCAACATGAGCATATTTTAGTAGCAGAGGCAGAAAAGTACCAGGAGCTCTGATGTAGATCAGGACCTTGGTATGCAAGATTTATCCCTTTCCCCCACTTAATTCTGGAAAAATACACCTTCCCAAGCATAATTTTTGAAAATCAAAACAACTCTCATTACAGCTAATTGTGTGGCTTTTTAAAAACCAAACATCTCTGTTTGCAACATGCGGTAGCAATTTTTTTTTTCGAGATCACAGTGAAGAATACAACGGTTAAGCCCGTCTATCTTGCATGCCATAAAAACCAAACATCTCTGTTTGCAACATGTGGTAGCAATTTTTTTTCCAGATCACAATGAAGAATACAACGGTTAAGCCTATCTTGCATGCCATGGTCCTAATCTGCTCATGCACATATGCACATCATGCACACTCACTCACAGAGAGAGAGAGAGAGAAACATGCATACACAGAATTTCATTTCATTTTTAAAAATCTCTGGCGTCACTTTGAGTGACAAATTTAAACTAATATGTAGTTAGGCTCTAAGCAACAGCAGCATTCAGCAGAAATCAATAGTCACTATAGTAATCATGATGGAAGAGCCCAATTAAACTGTAATGTTAGAATTTAGCTAACATGATTATGTCCTCAGGGTAGCAGGTACAAAGATTTGTTATCAATTGGTATGCAGTTACACCAATCATCAAGTTCCTTTTAATTCAGATAAAATAAAGAGTGCCTCTCTTTCTAAAGAAAGACATTTGTATTTTTAAAAGAAGGATTTGTAAGATTTTCAGGAAGGTCAAAGAAGATTCATTTCATAGGACTGGTGCATAACAGACAGCAGATGCAGTGCCAATAATTCGCATGGAAGACTGGGTTTTGGGATATCTAAACTCAATGGGTGATCAGTGACTGACTAAACTAATGTCGAATCTACATCACAGGACGTTAGTGAGGATGAAGTGGGAAGGAGGAGAACCATGAATACCATCTATGGCTCATTAAAAATGCAGGCATAAATGTAACCAAAAGTGTATAAATAACTGATAAACATTCTAGAATCAAGCAAACTGATTTGTGTCAATGTATTTTCGAACACAGTGTTTTACGTAGGATCCACAAAGATTTGATGTGTGTTTCATTAGCCCGAGCCAATGAATGCTGTCTTGGTAATCAAAGTTACAGAACTGAATGCCTATTTTGCTATTCAAAACTGCAACACAAAGAAGTTCTTATTCACAAAGTCCTCATCAACAAAAAGGCTGGCTAGAGAAAATGATTAAAGAGAAATTAAAAGATACATGGCGATACCATTTCCCCCCTCCCGTAATCAAGGGCTCAGGTGGCTGAGTCATTGTGATAGAGGAAGATTTATTGTTTATCTTCTTTGTTGTCTAACCAAAGCCCAATCATGGATAAAGCCAAGAATCTGTAGGGAGTTGTGAGGATTTAGAGATGAAAACAGAGAGCTGGATAAGGAGAAAAGAAAGAGGTGAGGGCAACCAATGCTCAGTCTCCCCCGGGGAGCTTGGAAATGAAAATTAAATGCCGTTCTTAAAGAACTCATTTTGCAAATATACAGATTTTAGAAGAATAATCGGGGAAATCTATTGAAAGAAAGAAGGGATCTTAAAAACGCATTTATTTTTGCAGGAGCTTTTAAATTAAAGAGTTTGTATCATCAGATACAAGCAGTGCTGGAATCAATCTGTCTATCTCTCTGTGTACTGTATCTATATATGTATAGCTACAAAAGTGGGCCAAAGTACACTAAGAGTAAAAAGTATATGTGAGTGATGTAGCTTCAATGGCTCCACTGAAGCATGATCACAAACAGAGGAGGGCCACTATTCATAACCTAGAAGTCTTTCATCCCAGAGGCTGCGCATAACAAAGCTCCATTTGTGTTCCTATTGTCCTTCCTCCATTTCTTCCAGAGTGTGCATCAATTACAATGACAAATTTGGAACTATTGGAATAATGAGATAATTTGAGATGAGGTAGCATTGAAGAAATACATATAGAAGAAGCGGAAACCACACATACACAAATTTGGCCTGTAATTCAATTTCTGTTCCTCACACTTAGGCTGATTTTTGAGTATGATTTTATGAGGGGAGTCAGCCAAGTACACACAATGCAATCTTGTCCTATTTTACCAGAGAGGAAACTTCACTAGCCAAAATCCTATTGGTGTCTGCACAAGGTTTGCTTAACTAGCCACGATGAAACATGGCTAATTGAAGAGGCACCAGAGAACGCTTCAGTAACACAACTAGATGTATGATCAGGCATGTGAATAAAACACACCCGAACTCTTCATCATTTTGCCAATGCTCCAGCAAGTTATGCACACTTTATATGAAAACCAATAGGATTGTGGCCACTGGCTTCAAGATGATTCATTCTTAATTAGTGAGCATGGGCATCCAGCCCTGCCTTTCAGATTCTTAATAATTATTTCCAAGGATTCTATGTGGCTCAAAGATCTTTTATACAATCCTGTAACAAGAGAAACCATCCTAGAAAAAGATGGCGGACACAGCGTTTCTTATTCTGTATTTCTGAAGTGAGATCTGGACAGGCTGCCAGTTTCTCATTTCCCAGCTCTCTGACTTTCCCAGAGGGCATCTACTGTAGGTTATGTGCTGGGAGGGGGTGGGGAGCCTCAGACACTGCCGGTTTAAGGCTCTCGGCTCCCTGCTGTGCATAAACACCTGCCAAAGTAGCAATTTCTAACCTGCAGGCTCTTCCCCTGACACTATTTCTTATTCACCCTGCAGTGCTGAAGCCAGAAAGAGGAAGGCCGTTCCTGCCCTCTCCTATCAAATCCACAGATCTGATGGCATACCTCTGAAAGAGGGGAGGGGAGTGGAATACCCCAGGAATTCCTTCCTCTGTGGCCCCCACAAACAAGTTTTTTTTTCAGGAAGAGAAAGAAAACAGGGGAGTCCGAGAGCTGAATCCTAGGGGATAGAATGAAATGAACATCTTACAGGATGCTACAAAACAACGACAACAAAAATACTCACAAATGAAAGAAACCTAAAAGTCAATGATCATAGGGAATTTTTAGGGTGTCTGCACTCTTCTAGGAGGTAGCAGGGGCTTAGGCACCTAGCTTAAAGTAGACGCCAGTCCCTGGCGGAACCCCAAAGCTCTCATAGCCATTGGCAATACATAGCCCAGGACCTATGTAATGGAAGCCCAGAATGGCTCATGAGATTCATCATTTGAAAATTCCAGGGTATACCAAGAACTTGTTTCTGATGTAGTAAAATGAAATCTCTGGTTCCATACCAATGACCTTTACTCACAGGGGCAAGAAATTCCAGGGCATTTTAACGGGCTGTCATTCAATTAGATAAATTCAAGACAGTTAATCAATTCATTATATTAAGTTTGCAGATGAATAAAATATAAATTTAAAATGAAAACTGACAAGTTTCATCTTAGGCATTGTTTCCAGGAAATTAACGAAGAAAACTGTTGTTTACGATAGACGGGTAGACAGATCTAAAGAAGTGTCAGAAAGATAAAGAAGATATGAATTCAAAATATTTTTGTAGGGCACCTTGGTTGTAATTTTTAACTAAGCCAACAGGCAGATTTAAGTCCAGCAGTTGGTAATACAGATTTTACAGGCAAGACTGCCCCAGGTGGCATCTTTGAGGAAGCTAATTCAGTGGGGCTGGAGATTATCCATGCTATGAAGATGTGGAAAAACATGGATGACCCTCTTCATCTAGAAGGGAAACTCCCTTCCTTATGAAAAAAAAAGCAAGGCTGTGACATTCTCAGCCTTTTTTTTTTTTTGGCCACGGCCCTCTCAGGAGCTGTTCCAGGGCCCCCTGTCAAACAAGGAAAGCCTTTAGCTGTAAGCAAACAATGATGCAGCAAGAACAGATGAATCTATGGCCCTAGTCAAAGGTGCCAGGGCTCCCTTGGCACAGTTGAGAATGGTTACTCTAGAGGACTGCAGAGCTAAGGTGGCATACAACAAGGGTGAAGCACTGAATCCTAGTCCTGGGACAAAGACAGGACTAAAGTCCAATATATAACTACCGATGGCAGCTGGCATCCCAAACTGTGAGGCACTCTTCTGATCCCAGGCCCCTGAAGGGGTGCACAATGCTGCATCTGGCCACTCCCAGCCACCCAAGCCAGTTCAAGGCTTCCACCCAACTCAGTCCAAGGCTGCTCAGCCTGCCACCAACCCATGTAATTAGGAGCACAGAATAGACACGAGTCTATGGTCATCAGTGTCCCCACAGCAGAGATGCAAAAGTCTGTCTGAGGAGCATCCTGAGGGGGGAGCCAGAGTACTGGACTAGGACTTTAAGCCTGTCACCATCTCTCAGCCTACCCTAACCCTAGCCACACTTCTGAGAATTAACACAGGGAAGAAGACCTTGAGCTCCAGGATGTACGGTGAGAGAGGAAAGTAGCAAATTGGGCTCAGTACTTAAATTGAATGTCCATCAGTAGGATTAATTAACTGATTCACAGTGATGTTTTGATTTTAACCAAGCATCAGTATGTGATAACTTACTTAGTTAGGCATCCTTCAGTTGAGAGAGACTATGGTAACGTGCTCTGTATGGAGGACTTGGAACAGCGTCTAGTGTGGCTGAGAAGGCCAATTCGAGCGTGACAATCCCTTCCACACTGAGAACAAATCCAATCTGTCCCCCATCCAGCTCCCTGATTTTGCTGGTTTTATTTAGGGTCACAGTTAACAAGACAACAGTTTGAAATACTGAGTGCCACCCATTTCTCCAAGCTACTACCATGGGCCCAACTACCATTCACATTCTTGTTTATTTTGCATGTAAATCAAGGTGAAAAAAGAAACCCTCATCAATTAGGGGCTGATTTCACCATGTTTGATTCAGATCAACCCCCAGATTAATCACCTGATTCTTGAGATATCATCCTACTGCAGAGATGTGCAACTTCTACACTCTCTTCTAAGTCCACAAGGGAAGACACCCTCTCACTACCACTGCTGGCAAACCCGCTGCCACCTCAGTTTCCCATCTCCACAAGGATCGTGGCACATGGGCATTGTTCACTTTGTTTCGCAGCAGGGTCCCAGAATTATACTGAGAGCTGGGAATCAGGGTATGTACTCTGTGTCTGTCACGTTTCTGAAAAGAACCACAGTGGCTTTCTGAAATGCCAGGGACCTGAGGGAGCAGAGAAATGTCTGGAGCTATGCATGCAGTCCACAGACTGCATGTTGCCCATCCCTGCTCTACTGACATCATCCTTTACCATGGTGGAGCCCCAGCCATGACCACAAAGAAGAAGTCAGTCTGATGCCTTTAAGCGTAAAAATTATCCACTCCCTTCTCTTTTGCAGGCATATTTGTGCAGATGGGCATGCACAAGATCCTCTGCATACCTTCCTGCTGTAGTAACATTTAACAAATGAGAGCTTGGAGAGGCTTGCCAAAGCCCTCTGGCCATATGGGACGGTACCAGGCATCAGCGACAGCATGCAGAATTAGAAATATCCTTGCTGCAAGGTAGCAGGTGATTGTGACTGCAGGTCTTTAGCTGGAGGGGAAGTTGTTGTTTACTCATCTGCAGTCCCTGTAGGACAGCTCCTGCCTGCCTGCACCAACTGCCATAAACAGCTCCCCCCCCCAAAAAAAGGAAAGTATTAGTCCGTCTCACAACTTTGCTTTGCCACCAGCTGGGAACCAACCTGGAGGGCGGGGTACTCTCTTGCTCCCCACTTCCCATTCCCCACTCCCACCCTTTGTGCCCTGTTTCCCCCAAAATAAGCCAGGGTCTTATATTCATTTCTGCTCCAAAAATGCATTTGGGCTTATTTTCAAGGGGTGTTTTATTTTTTTCATCTACAACTATCTACATTTATTCAAATACAGTCATGTCATCTTCTTTCTGGCTGCTGCACAAGGGTGAAGGATGGTGTTTCACTTAACTAGGGCTTATTTTGGGGGTACAGCTTATATTATGAGCATCCTGAAAAATCCTACTAGGGCTTATTTTCAGGTTAAATCTTATTTTCAGAAAAACACGGTAGTTCTTCATTTTGCAGGGACAACCTTCTGGACTGAGCAGACAAAGATCCCTGAGAAATGGGGCTTGAAGCACAAGCAAAGAGAACTGTCCCGTTGAGGGGCTACCACCGTTCTGCCAAGTCCTGTGCACCAGCAGCCTCTTTGATCTCGTTCGAGGAAAGAGAGATTGACTGTGGCAATAATAAAAGGATGTCCATATTGGTCACTAATGTGGTGAAAACCTTTATTTAATGCAACAGCATGTTAACTGGGGGCAGTAAATGACTCAGAGAAGGGACAAAGGAGAGGGTCTACTTCTCCCTCCACAACCGAGGAACAACCCTGCTTTTCTCTTCTATATACATTCCTAGTGAACTCATACTTGAGTCAAAGGCCCTCTAGCAGGTTGGCAACCATTATGTGATGCTTTCAGGCAGTGTGAGCAGCTGCCACTTCTACCCTGCTGCCAAATTATTTATTTATCATTATTTATTAGTGACCTTTACATTCTACTTTTTCTCTAATGAGCTCAACTAATCAAGAACAAGTAACGTTCCCTATCTGTTTTATATCTTGTTTATATAAGAACACCCTGCCTTTTCATGGGCCTTACTTGTCCTCTCACACACACACACACACCCCCCACCCGGGGCTTTCCAATATGCCACTTTGCAAGGAATGAATAATTAGCAAGCTACATTAATTTAGATTAGAAGCTATGGAGAGTATCACAAGGAAGGCCCAAAGCACGGCAATATCTGATCGATCTGGATGGTATAAAAAGAAAGTCCTGCTTGTGAATTCTCAAAGGATGGCCAGCAAACAGTTCTGATATGAAGGGAGAGAGGGAGAAGGAGAGATAGGCCTGTGCAGGGTTTTTTTTTCCTCTCCCTCCATCAAAAGGAAGGTGGGAGGCACTGCATGAAGCATTTCATTGCCTTAACTTAGGGCTTGTGCAAGGAAGATTTTTACCAACATCTCCTCCCTCTTCTGCGGTTCTCAGGATGTTCTGGGTATCATGAACCTGGCCTTGAAGAAGTCTGCACTATCCCTCCAGGTTACCATAACTCTTGAAGTTTCAGCATTGTTCAAGAAAGAAAGGTACATGTTTTTTCCAACCCATGTAATGATAGAAAATCTGCTAGTAAAAAACAGTCAAAGTTAAGCTGCAGAGGCGAAATGGTCACTCTTTTCTAGCAGGGAGAATCCCTGGATAGAAGCAATGAGGATGCCTAGGGAATTCTTTAATTGCAAATTCTAAAATAAACTCATCTGTTCACATGAATTTGCCTCCTGGACTACAGGCTGGATAAAAATGGATATCACATTTTCTGTATGTTCTGACACAATCTGTGTATGAAAAGTGCACCATTTAAAAACAACAACACACATATTTTAGAGCAAAGGAAACATGGAAAGAAGAAAGTTTTAGAACTACACGTTTTAGAGAGCAAATATCTTTAAACTATGCATTTAATGCATGTTTACATATGCATTTTCATGTGGATTTAAAACATTCACAGATGTACACAGGTAAAAGAACAGATATATGGATGAAATGCGCACAGACTAGAAATAAATGTTATACCTCTCCAGTTAAAAACTGAGTAAATATAGCTCACGTACCTGGTCTGACGTAACGGAATGGGCAACGAGATGCACAGAAAAGGATCAAAAGTATTGCTCTGCTTTAGGCAATGAGGGCACGTCAGTGAGGACCTAGAAAATAAAGAATGAAGAAAACCCTACAGTCAAACAATATTTCAAGGGAGAAAATACCCATGCAAAAATAGGCTTGGCCTTACACTTGGAATATGAAGCTCATTTTTGGCTCCAAGACCTACAAGAGGAACCTGTGGGATGCAGAATAACTATTTTGAGGGGACACCCCTAGTCAAATATGCAAACTGATGTTTACTCTGAAATGAACAGTACTGAAATTAAAGGGATCAGCATTCCAATAGGTATACTAAAGGGCATTACGTCAGTTTTACATGTTGAATTGCACTGCTGGGTACAAATAGCATTTCATAGTCCTCTTTTGTTTATGAAAAGAAGATTAAGTTAGGAAGTGCCCCAAAACAGAATTATTACAAGGAAGATTTTCACTTTCTTTCACCTAATCTACTCTTAAGCATGATATTGTTATTATTGTACTAAAACCAAATCAATGTGTTTTCTAAACACTTTGGGTTAAATTAAATTATTAGTCCCAATTAGAGTAGACTCAATGAATTAAACGGGTTTAGTAAATCAATATTAATGTAAGCTTCATTGGATCAATGGGTCTAACTGTAGATGAGATCAGCAATTTAACTCTCAATGTCTGGGCCAAACAATTAATAAAACTATATTTGTATCCACATACAATGACCTGACATTAACAAAGTACAGCCACCATTCTTCCCTACCCCCACCTCACTGGGATTGGCCACAACACCTTTTATCATGTGCCTTCCCATTCTCCATGTCATGCCAGCTTCATTCCACAACAGATGGATGCTCTGTTGTTCTAAGGTTCAAACTACAATCATTTTGGAGTTTCTGTTGACAAACAAACATTTTTCTCATATTACTTCATTACGGGTGGAGGAGGTGTATTTTACCCATGCACAAAGAGTTTGAGAGAGATGAATGTCAACATTTCCTTCATAACCAGCATTAAAATTCAATCACTCCATATGCACTTGTCCAGAATTCTGCTGTGCTTCATACTTAACTGTAAGAATGCCTAATTGTAAGAGACTGCCAACACAGAGCTAACATAAAATAAGAGGAGGCGTCAGATGCTCAGCCACAAACTAGTCCTGGTTTCCTACCTCATCTGGCTTCCACATCATTCTCCTCACCTGGAGATTTTGTTCTTGTGACAGAGAATAAGGACAGGCAACCCTAAGGCAAAGGTATCATGTTTCACTAGAGAAATCAACATGTAGTAACTATCCTGTAAAACCAAACCAGTGGTAACTGATATCCAGGAGAGCTGATGGGGCAAAGGGCAGCCTCATCACTGGTGGAGGTAAGCGATTAGAGGCCAGACCAACACTCACCCCCTCTGTAACAAGACACAACAGTACAAATAATATATTAGAAGTGTTTCATATGGAAATATTTTGAAAAGACTGTTGCCCAGAGCAGTTACATACGTTCACAGTTGTGTGTTGTGAGAAAAGTTGTGTGGCTTTCCCCTCCCCTTGCACACCTTAACCCTCCAACTACAATAGCTATTCTAAGAACCAGAGAACTGGCCCTTGAACCCAAAGAAACTTGAAACTTCAACATACAAAACTATCACAGGATGCAGGAGCAACAGTGCACTGGTCAAAGTTCACTGCTTGGATTCTGAACAAACCAGTATCCAAGCAAATGGGGAAGAGCATTGGGGAGTGGAGATGGGGTCCCACAAAAGTAGCGATGTAAAAGTAAGTTCAACTACATAAAATAAACTCTGCACACAGGTGAAACAGCTTACTGGCCAAAGTGGCCTGATTTCTGAACAAGGATAGACAGGAGAAATAATTTCCCCGACTGAAACTACGTAACTGGTAAATGTAAACACACACACACACACACACACCCTAGAGCAGTGGTTCCCAACTTTTGGGGAACCCAAGTGTTCTAGGACTGTAATTCCCAGAAACCCCTGGCCAGCACAGCTAGTGGTGAAGGCTTCTGGGAGTTGCAGTTCATGAACACCTGGGTTACCCAAGGGTGGAAACCTCTAGAGATTTAAAGGTGGATTCAACTACATAAACCAGACTTGATACTGGATCCTAAACAACCTAAAGCCAAACTGGATTTGAACTGTGGAGGGTATTTGTGCAAAATATTACACAAGATCAGAGGTTGTGTAGTACATAAGAGAGCAATAGGGCTCCATGTCGTACATTGGCAGAGGGTTGTACCAAACTGCCATTGAAGTCCCTTTCCAATTCTACAATTCTCTGACTACATCTGCTAGCCAAAGTAAACTCTGTGTGTGTATGTGTGTGCGCGCGCGTGCGCTAGGGCAACACTGACCCTCTCTGTAACAAGACACAACAGTACAAATAATATATTAGGAGTGTTTGATATGGAAACATTTGTTTGTGTGTGTGTGTGTGTGCGCACGCGCACGTACCTGTACTTGCATGTATGTTTGATCAGAGGAAAGTTGAACACAGAAAACTGTGTCATATATCTTATAATGGTCTCTCCATTTGTCAAACGCAGACACAGAAACTTATTTATCTCTTTCCTCTTTGTTTCTTTCTGAATAATACACACTGATATTTTTTTCAACAATAAAAACTAGTGGAGATCAGAGCTTTTCCTTATGCTTCTTCTCTTCTCTTCAGATCTGCCCCCCCTTCCTAGTTCTGGTAGGGGAAAGCCACAAAAGCGATAGATAATAAAATACAGCCAGTCAGCCATAGTCTGAACTTCAGGTGCTACATTTAAATTGTATGTACAGAGCCCACTGGCTCCATGAAATCCCTGGCGCTAAAGTTTCAACACCCTCATTTAGAGTCAGAGCCTCATCTAACTTCCAGAGAGGATGTTAAATACTGGTGGTACAAAAGCAAGGTCTGCAGCTACTCTCAAAGTCAAAAAGGAGCAATTCAGAGTATCTGTGAGATTTGCATATGCTCAGAAGCCCTCTGGGCAGCTGTTCTGAGCATGCATAAATCAAACATACACCCAGACACCTTCTGAAAAGTTTTGGGATGTGCTGGAATGATTATGGAGACAGAGAGGTAAACACAGAATGAAGATAGACATGCATTTTAAATACACTGTTGCTGCAGGAATTGGTTTCTTCTTCCCCGTTCTGCTCATGGTGCAAAGCTGTAGATGTAACACAGGTGTTGCTATCATTGCAAAGACTTCTCTTTGTGATGGAGGCATCCTATCCTTGTCAAAGGGTGTGTCTGAAGCAATCCTGCAAATAAATGCCTATCCTTAATGTAGCCTTGGGTTGCAGAAATAGATCACAAACAAAGAAGACTGGCAACACTGCATGTTGTCGGCCTGCTCAGTTTAAAGGCAGTAAAAGGCAATGGTAGTTTTTTTTTCATTTTACCCATTCATAACCTTTAAACTCAAAACTTCAGAATAGCTCTACCACATACCTCGTAACTACCTTTTCAGCAGGTGAGGATTCCAACGTGGCCTCCTATTTCACCCCATCTGTAACCTCACAGCTAACCTAGTTTATAGCACTACCTGCTTTCAGCCTTTCCTTCTTATTCAAAACCCACTATTACCATCACCACCATTTTCCTCTGCAGCTCCCCAGTCACACTGCCTCAGGAGTGACAAAACCATATGTAGTATACACACACACACACCAGTGTAAAGAACCTCTTTCCATAACACTTGGTATCCTTAGTCATCCACACATCTGTTTTATAATAATAGCTACTCATATTATTATTCTATTTAATAATCTGGATAGTTGGCTGGATAGCTCATTGGTTTAAGTACAGTATCTGGCTGTGGAGACACAGGTTGGGAGTTCAGTTCCCCACTGTGTCTCCTGTGAATGCAGCCAGCCTGTGTGGCCTTGGGTGAACTGCACAGTCACAGGGCACCTCTAGAAGAAAGGAAATATAAGTATTATCTACCTAGAAATCCTTCAAAGGGGTTGCCATAAATCAGAATTGACCCATCATCATCATTTAATAATCCCCACTGCCCACTTTAGGAGCAACAACTGTACTGTCTAGGTTAGTGTTGCACTGAACAATGCTGACTTGTCATACATTTGTACTTGATTAGCAAAAGGTCTCATAAACTGTAAAAAGAATGTCTTCTTTCATTTTGTTTCAAGGGGTTTGGGTGTAGTTTTTTGAAGCAAACCCTTGAAGTGAATGAAGGAAAAGAGGACCAAAAATTCCAAGAGAGTATAATTCCTGCTAGAAGCCATTCATGCCTTCTTTACATCATCTTCTTGGAGAAACAGTCGCTAAAAGGAGCCAGTCTTGCTGCAGCAGCAGTCACCACATGATGGACGTTAGCAGCCAAGTCAGTGGCTTTAAGCAGGTGTTTTAATGGTTAGAAGATGGGGGGGGGAGTAAAAGTGAGAACTCCCTTTTCCCAGGAGAATTGCTCATTTAAATCTGACAGAAACAAGCCTAATTTCCACAGGAGAAGAGATCAACAGAAGCAAGAGCATTTCTTAATGAGATTGGCTTTCCAGAAGTACTAACCAGTTGATGGGATTGTATCTAACAAGATTATCTGGGAGAACAAGCCCTTCTCCCTAACTTTAAAAAAAAGAGGAAAAAGTAGAAGCAATGTACAGCCAGGGGCGGGGGGGGGGGGAAAGAAACTTACAGAGAAGAATTTATTCTAGCAAAGAAGAAAAGAGTGGACATGTAGAGCCCCACATAACCTGGACATCATTTTTTACACATTATTTTGGACCTTGTAGAGCTCTTCCCATGACCTCATGCCAAAATGTTGGGGGGGGGAGAGCGTTCCAGGAGTGGCAATTTTTGCTTAAATCAGGATGGGAAGGGGGAGTGTATGTCTCACAGAGGTTGCCCATCGCTGGTCTAAGTAAAGACTACTCAGAGCAGGAGCACAATTTTTAGAGATTGGGGGTCTGCATAGGCCTTTTGTGGCCCTCAGAGACTTATATTTACCCTAGTGCCTCTGTGACTCTTTTCTTGACTCAGAAATGCCCCTCACATACTTGAGATATTGCAATGGTGGTTTCACCCTTTTTACAAGCT